AAAAAAAAGAAAATAAAAAAACGGACACAGAAATGCTAGAACCTGGTGTTAGCTACTTGAAATCTGCCTTGGGCCAGGGTGCCACAGCAAGTTGGGCTCTGATGCTTGAGACAATTGGCAGATCTGGCCCCTCCACTGCATCTGTCCCCACTAATGAGATAACACGTAGTGTCATGAAATTTACCCGACAAGCGGCTAGAAAAAACAGGCACCTGGCAGCAATAAACCTCTGGCTAAAAGTTAAATTAATTCTTCAGCTCAAAGAAAGATCTATAAGCAGAGGTGAGTCAGTTCCCAAGCGCTTACTGTCTGCTCTGATGCTCTGATCATCGTGTGTTTGGGTCTTGTTTTCCCTCGTTCCCGTAAGGGCACTAAATTCAAACAGTTGTGAAATAAAGAACATTGGGTGTTTTAGCCCTAAGAAAACAGGCATGGAGCAAAGCAGCTGGCATGACTGAAAGGGGCTTGAAAGGCTGATGGGTTTGATACGCTGTCTCCATACACAAGGGTCCAAACATCAGCTTGGATTATAGTGGTGTGATTTATTGTGGCTCGCTCTGTAACAGCCATTACTGAAGAGCGTATTCTTTCTGTCTGCTGACCTCCACCCAGATTTGCTAAACATAATGTGCAGTTCCAGCTTGTTAAATTTTCTCCTTGCCTATTCAGTGCCAGCCTGAGTTATAAACAGGGGTTCTGGTTTGTACTATTTATTTCCCCCCGTAGTTTTAGGAGTATATTTTTAGAAAAATTGCCGCTCATTTCTTAGGAGTAAAACAAAACAAAAGCTATTATCATTGTTTAAACAATTGGTTTTCTTTGAATTATATACAAAACTTGCTTACATTCCCAAGGATCGAGCTCTCAGCAAACAAAGCAGGTCTGGAGAAATTCCTAGCCCTCTGAACAAACATTTTCCAACCTTGATTTCTTTTTTTTTTTTTTTTCTTTCTGTTGGAAATGTCCAACATCACCAGCAGAAATTTCTTCCAAGCCACTGAATCCCCCTCAAAGGTGGGATTCATAGCTCAAAAAGCCAGACTGGCCCATACCTGGTATGCAGCTCACAAGGGGACAGAGAGAGATTTTGCCAGCTCAGAGCCTGGGAGTGGGTCTGAAGCAGTTCCTGAAAGGCTGCCAGCCCTGTCACCCCTCATTGTGACTGGTTTGGCCTGCAAACCTGATCAGGAGCCCCACTTCGGGTTTGCAGCCAAGAGGATCACCAGGCTAATATACTGATTGTCCTCCCCCATCCTTGCCCCAAATTTCTCCCTGGCTAGCGCTGACTGGGGCTCCTTAGGGCAAAGCTCCTCTGGCCCCCCTCCTCCCCTCCCTCCGGACTCACCACTCTCTTTTGGGGTTTGATGAGAGGCCGGCTGAGGCCGTTCATTTTGGTGTAGAGCCCACAGGCGTTGCACAGGTAGTTTCCGGTGCCGTCCCTCCTCCACAGCGGGGTCTGGATGGAGCCGCAGTTGACGCACTCCCGGCTCTCGGACAGGTCCTCCAGCAGCTCTGGGGGCAGGAGCAGAGGGGACAGGCGGTGGGGCACTGCCCAGGCTGCCGCAGAGCCCGGTGTAGCCCCGCGCAGAGCGGCCCCGGCCCCGCCGCGCCGAAAGCCCCGGGCGAGCGAGCAGCCTGCCCGCAGAAAAGCAATTCCCCGGCAGTGATGGCTGCCATGCGGTGATTTATTTTTTTACAAAATCCCGGGTTATTTCTTTTCCATTTTTTGTTGTTTGTTTGTTTGTTCGTTTGGGTTTTTTTTTCCTATTTATTTAAATGTGCCAGACCCGCTGCCGGCCCCGGTGCAGCGGCTGCTCTCGGAGCCGGAGAGAGCCGGCGCGCCCGGACACCGGCCCGCCGGAGGGCTCAGCCCCGGCCTGCCGTGCACTCCCCTCGGGATTTCACCCTTGGGAAATCCGGCTGGGGTCCGCTCGAGGGACGGGACCCCCGCCGTGGTGCCCACAGGACGGAAAGGGAGGTGCACTTGCCTTTAGAGGGGAGCAGAGTGGGGAGTGAGGTGGCTGTCAGAATAGCCAGTTCCAGAGACACCCTGGAAGCTGGATATAAGGAGCTGTGGCTTTGCCCCGTATTCCCCAGGGTCGAAGCTTGGCAAGAAGTTTTCTACCCTAACTCCTATTTTAAATGCCTCGCAATTAGCAGAGCTTCAAGTTTAGAGGCAGCGTTCAGGGCCCTGGTTGTCCCAAGGCAGAAACGAGCAGCGGTCGCTTTCACCTCGGCTATTTGGTCAAATTAGAGCTGGTTTGTAGGAAACAGAGGAAATGGAAAAATAAGCGGTATTGTGCCTCCTGCTTTCATAGTTACTGAGCACTGAGGGGAAAAAGAAAGGTCTAAATGCACGGGGAAAAAAAAATAAAAAGAGAGAAAGAAAAAAAATGAGGAAAAATGAGAGAACCCACCTACAAAACCTAATACTTTCACCCATGCGAATCCTCATTCTGATTCACCTCTCCATATTTCGGGGAGGGGAGAATAAAAACTTATTTTACATAGACTGTGCCACGTTGTGAAGAAACAATAAAAGGAGATGTTTGGATTTTTACAGCAGCTTTCGAGTCGAGTCTGGGAATGTATGTTTCAGACTCAGAGCTTCGTCATTGCTTTTTTTTTTCTTCCTCCCTCGGCTACCTGCCTAAATTTATCATTGGGTTATTCTCTTACGTTTCTCTATACAGAGAAGGAGAGCTCGTAAAGGTCGAGCAGCTTTGAAGCCTGGGCTGCGGTGCTGCGGTGACACGGCGGGCATTGAGCTGAGAAAGAAATGGCCTTTTGGCCCGCACCCATCCAAATACGTTTCTCCCTTCGTTTGCGAATTATTAGGCGCTAAAGAAGAACGAGGACACGGCAGAGTCCAGAGAGCATAGTTCAACTTACGTTGTCAGCTCCTAGCTCTTAGCACATCGCTAAGATTTATTAATCTTTGCACTAAAAGCACCATTGAGGACTGTAAGCAGAAAAATGCTTAGGGCGTCAAGGACGCTGGAACTTAAAGAGTAATTTGTCTCAGCTATTTATTTTATAGCATTGCCTTCGTGCCTGCAGAAAGAAATTCTGCCGTGACAATATTTCTGGGGCATTTTCTAATGTTTTTTTTCCCCTTACAGAGTGAGTAAGGGGAAAAACTTATCCCCAAGAAAATGACGTTTTAATTTTAGATACTGTTTTAGCATCTCTACGAGTAACGTCAAGAAAGCTTGGTCAAACTGTCTAATATTTAGCCCTAAAAATATGTATTTCGGCTACAATTTCCCTACCATTTTGAAACGGTACAGAGCGTAGCTTCGGCTTTGCTGCCGCGTTTTGCCTCGCAGGAGCAAAAACCTCGCCTGGCCCAGGAGCTCCGGGCTGCTTTGCCCTGCGTTACACCGCGATGCGGCTGCTCTGGCACCCGTCCTTTCTCTCATGGAAAGGCTAATCGCTACCCCTCCGGCCCCCAGCACTGGTGAGAGGGGGGCACAAGGGCAGGAGAGACCCCCCTGGAGCAGGGGAAGCTGCTGTGCTCCTCGGCTGCCTTGACACTCCTGCCCCAACCTCCTCCAGCGCCCAGGTCCTTCACATCTCTGCTCCTTCTTACTAACCCCTCTCCTCTACCTGCCCTGAGATTTTCCAACCCTACGTCTCTCCCGACAAAATAAAAATAAAAAAAAAAAAATAAAGCAACCAAAAAAACCTCCACAACTTATTTTTTTCCCTCCATCACCCAGTTTCACACCAAAATATTTTTCGTGTTACCCTGACATGCAGCTTCTCCTACCACTGCTACAACTGATTTTCTTCCCTCAGTCATGATAGTAAACATCAATTGGGAGGCTTAAAATGCTTAAATCTACAGTGTATCACCGAGAAACGGGAGGAGTATTATGTGTACAGCCCTACAGAAAGATGAAAATCCATGGGGTAATTTTTCTGCAACACTGCACTGAAAAAGAAAATCACAGTGTCTATAAAATACATGCACCTGGTGGGTAGTTTATGCTTAAAGTGAATGATGATCAAATGTGTGTGCATATTTACATAAATATGTATATATACATAATATATATATGCATAACACATATAAATAAATATACGTACATAGCCACACACACCTCTCTATGCACCTCTATTTATATATACATAAATTTATTCTAAAGCTGAAGAGACTGCAATAATCGTTAATCTTTTTATCTCTGACTAAATCATCGCAGCTCAAACTCCACTTCTACAATTGATTTAATTACACTGAAAATTCCTTTAGCTAAAACAAAAAGTAAGGATGGGACACCTCGGGAATTAAAGCAAAACCCCACAAGGAAGTACTGTATTTTACAGCAGCTTACAAATTTAAGTTTCCTCGTTCATATACGAGGCTTTGCTTTGCTGCTTTTCTTTTTAACGAAGAAACCGTGTTTTGTAGTTGAAATAATCCAAAACGGGTTAAATGAGCCGCTGCAATTTTCCTCTACGATACAAGAACGATTAATTTGCAGTGAATTTGTCACCGTTTCGCGTCCAGATGACCGCATTTAGGGAAAACAGGAATGTACTGACTTGGAAAAATTAAAAATTAAGTTTACACCGGGCAATTCGTTTTGGGATCTTCGGGCTGGTAACCCCGATACTCCAAACAACGCCAATATTTGGAGGTGTATTTTTCCCCCTAATCCAACACGAACGAGCTTCCTCCACTCCAGAACAGCCATGGTCCCGGGACCGCCGTCCTGCCGCCGACACCGAGGCCGTCCCTCGCCAGCGAACCCCTCTCCGGGGCGGCCCTACCGCCGCTCCCCCGCGCCCCCCGGCACCCTCACCGCCCCTCCAGCGGGCAGCCCCGGCTTGCGGCCACCCTCCGTGCCCTGTGCCCTGTGCCCCGCCCGAGGGTCCTACCTGCGCTGGGTGCCCGGACGGGGATGGGGGCGGCCCGGCCCTGGAGGCAGTGCAGCATGGAGTTCTCGAAGGGCGCCGTGGGCCAGGCAGGAGCGAGCTGCGGCCCCACGTAGGATGTGTAAGGGCCCGGGTAGGAGCCATTGAGCGGCCGGGCCAGGGGGCTGTACTGGTCCCTAGCGCCCAGGCTGTTGCTGTAGGCGCCGGGCTCCCGGGAGGCCCCGTTGGCCACCGGCGGGCTCGGGGAGTAGGGGAAGCGGCCCGAGGGGTGGGAGCCCCCGCCGCTGCTGTACGAGGGGCTTTCCGCGGCCGGCTGGGACCAGACAGCGTGGCCGCCGCCCGGGTGGCTGGGCTGGGCCGCCCCGCTGCCCTGCAGGTAGGGCAGCGTGGGCAGCATGGAGCCCACGCGGGTCGTGGGCACGTAGACGGGCGAGCTGGGCGTGGAGTGCATGAAGCCGCCCGGAGATCCGTCGTAAGGCGTGGGGCCCTGGGCGGCCGAGATGGCGAGGGTCTGGTACATCTCCTCGGGCTGCTCGGCGCCGAGGGCGCTCAGCTTGGGGCCGCGGCTGGACCAGATCAGCTTGCTGGTTTGGTCTAAGTCCGCGAAGAGCAGGATGTCCTCCCAGCTGGGACGGCCGGAGGGGTGGGGGGTCCCGAAGTGCACGTAGGGGGCGAGCAGCGACCTGCCCTCGGCGGCCGGGGGCGGCGGCGGGGCCGGCCGGTGGCTGTCGTCGGTCTCCGGCCGAGGAGTCTTGGAGCAGCCGCGTTCACTCTGGGAGCCGCAGGAGGAGGAGGGCGAAGGAGGAGACGGGCGCGGCTCCCTGGTCGCGAAGGGACAGGAGGAACCGCCGGAGTCCGCAGCGCACCGCTTCACCGCGCACCAGCCGCCTTCAGCCACGGCCATCCAGGTCCCCTTCTAGCCGCTGGGTGTGGATGGGGAAGGGCGAGGAGGGGAGGAGGAGGAGTGGAGGGGGGGATCCGCAGGGCAGGGCGGGGAAGAAGGACACAAAAGAGCAGGGAAGTGGGGGAGAGAGAAATAATAAAAACAAAGTTTGCAAACAGGACAGCCCGTCTCCCTCCCGTAATGAGATTCATCAGGGCTTATCTGACCCCTCTGAGCGCTTAATCAGTCATGTCGCCTGGGCGCTGTTGTCCCTCGCCCCGGCGGAATGGGATCAGGCAGCCCAGGTCAAGACGGGCCGGGAGACGCCAGTCCCGCGGGGCCAGGGCTGCGGCTCCGGCCCCGCTTTCCGCACCGCGGGAGGGCTGCTCCCCTCTCCCTTCGCATCCCGGGCTGCGGATTTGAACATGAAGCACGCCGGGGCAAAGGTGGGCGTAAGGGCGTGGGGACAGAGGGGAGCGAAGGGGCATTTTTCCCTGTCTCTGCCCTTCCTTGGCTGCTGTCGTTGTTATGATTATTTCAATGAATGAGTCATTTGACTCGGTTCCATCGAGAAAACAATTAGTAAGGCGATCCCTTTAAGGTTACTTTTTCGGAGGGAGATGTTAGCTCCTCCGCGCATCGCCTCGCTTGTTTGCCTGTTTCCAGCCCAAGGTCACGGAAAGGAGGAGGAGGGAAAGGCGCCCGGGAGACCGGAGATGCGCACGGGCCGGGCCCGAAGTCTGCGCGGCGGCGGCGGCGGGACACTGGGCGAGGGCGGGAGGGATGTGCCTGCCGTAGGGGCCAGCTCCAGCGGACAGCCCTGGCAGGGGGCCTGCCCCGAGCCCCAGCACACCTTGCAGGGGTGACACCCGTCCCGGGCTGAGCGGTGTCAATCCGGAGCTGCCAGCGTGAGGAAGGCCGGACAGACAGACACAGAGAGCCCCGTGCCCAGCCCTCAGGAGAAGGGGCGGAAAGCGAAAGGGAACACAGAGAAGTGACATCAAGAGAAGGCGAGGATCTCCGTTCTCAGCCCACCTCGGGGCTCTCCAGATAACCACAGGCATAAGAATACAGGACACACACACACACCAGAGCCCCCTCGCAGATAGGCACCAAATACGTCTCTCCCTCCTGCGAGATAACTGGGAGATAAGGCTCAGGCAGATAAGAGCTCCAGGCACCGGCATCGGATGTTTGCCCACACAGTCTCCCTCGGGCTCCCCCGGCCAGGGACAGCCGCCGCCGCGCTCCCCTCGGAGCGCCCGCGGGAGGAGAGGCAGCGGCAGAAGGCCGAGAAAGAGCTAGAGAAACCGCGGAGAGGCAAGGAAAGAAAGGGGACAAACCTGATGCCGGTGCCCCGCATGGGGCCGGGGAGCGGGGCCGCGGCGGGCGGTAAATCCAGTGCGGCGGGGGCGAGTGGCGGCGGCGACTCCAGCGGCGGCGGCCGGCGGCTCATGTATAAAAAGGAGAGAGGAGGCGCCTCTCGCAGCCCTGCCGGAAAACTGCAGGCAGCCGGCCCTGATTGGGCTCGGCCAGCCCTAAACAAACACGGGGCTCCGCAGGGGTGCCAGCCCCGGGGCCAGCCGGGCCGCCGCAACCCCGGGGGAGGGGGGCGTGGGGGCACCTCGGGGCGCCCGCAGCGAAGGGGCGACGGACCCCTGCTCGGGGAGCAGGAACCAGAAGAGAGGGCTGGCAGTGCCAGATACCCCAGTCTTTTTTTTTTTTTTTTTTTTTTTTTTTTTTTTTTTTTTTTTTTTTTTTTTTCCCCCAAAAAAAACTTCTGAGCTGTAACATCTCAAAATTTTTTTGGAAAATGAGCGTGCACAACACATACCTTACAATTTATTATAGCTGTTTTTGCAGACCACAGACTCA